GTTGATTAGGCGGCCGCAACCTGCTGCAGCTGCTCCGCGTCGCCAGGGTGGTCGTCGAGCAGCGGCCCTCGCCGCTGCTCGGCCTGCCGCGGCAGTACCTCTACGCGGCGAGGCACACGGCGGAGCTGTGCGGCGCGGGCGCAAACGCGCACTCGCCCCGCGCCATCGTCGCGCTCAAGCTCGCCGCTCGGCACGCCGACCGCGTCTCGGCCGCGGCGCACGGCGCGGCGGCGCGCGAGCCCGCGCTGGCGCCGCTCTTCGAGATGCAGCTCCGCCTCTGCACGCACCGGTACTCCAAGGTGCGCGCGCTCGCGCAGGACGGGTACAAGGCCGCGCTCTCGCGCCACCCGTGGGTGGCGGCGAGGCAGCTGCCCTCCATCATCGGCCCGCTGAGCGACGCGGCGGCGCAGCCGCACGAGGCCAAGGGCGCCGCCTGCTCCGTTCATCGTAACGAAACACTCATTGGTTGCCATCCTCGACTCCTCAGGCCAAGGGCGCCGCCTACCTCCTCTCGTCGGCGCGCGTCTCGGCGACCGTGGCGCGAGCGGCGCCCTCGCGCGCCCCCTCTGCGCACGGCGGCGCCCACCTCCCGCCCGCTGCGTGTTAGGCTCGCGAGCCGGCCCTCCTCTGCGCCCTCCTCGCCGCCCTCGCCAACTCGCGCGACCACGGCCTCCACAAGCTCTCGCGCCTTAGTTAGTTAAAATTGACGAATTAACTAACTAACTAGCTAACGAACTAATTAAGGCCTCCACAAGCTCTCGCGCCTCATCCGCGCCGCCTTCTCCGCCGTGCTGCGCCACGTCCCCGCGCCCGCGACCTTCGCGCCCCGCCTCGGCGCGCCCGCCGAGGCGCCCGCCGAGGCGGCGGCGGAGGCGCAGGAGGGCCGGGCCGAGGGCCGGGCCGCACTCGAGGCGTGCCTCGCCGCAAGGGCGCCCTCCATCAGAATTCGTTCATTCGTTGATTAGTGAATTAGCTGATTAGGCGTGCCTCGCCGCAAGGGCGTCGTCCATCGAGGCGGCGCGCGCCGCGGCCTTTGCGGCCATCCTCGCGCGCGCCTCCTCTGTCTCGACCGCCTCGGCCTCGGCGGGCGAGGGCGGCGGCGAAGGCGGCGGCGGCGGCGAGGCGCGCGGTTGGGCGGCCGGCGGCGAGGCCTGATGAGTTCATTAGCTCATTAGTTGATTCGTTCATTAGGCGAACGCCTCGGCGGCCGACGGCGAGGCGCACTGGAGCCGGGAGGTGACCGCCCTCTCTTCGCTGCTCGTGCTTCCTGTGGAGGAGGAGACGGAGCGGCAGAGCCTCGCCCTGCTCGCCACACGAGCCCTCTGCTCGCCCGCCGCCGCAGTGCGCCGCGTGGGCCGCGCCGTCCTCGCGGTCTTGCTGCGGCCGCCCTCCTCGCCGCCGCCCAAGGGCAGCGCGGAGGCGCCGCCGCCGCTGTTTGCCGATGGCGAGGCGATGGAGGCCGACGGCGGGGCGGCGCCGCTGCCGCAGCAGCTGCCGTACTCCCCCGTCGACGCTTGGCGCGACGACGTGTGCGACGGGTGGGGCGCGGCCTTCTCGGGGAGCGAGCCCTCGGGGGGCGAGGCGATGGAGACGGAGCCGCCGACGACGTCGCCGGCCGATGGCAGCCAGCCCGCCGCCGCGCCACCCGGCGAGTTGATGCCGCCCGGCGGGCTGCACTCGCCGCTCGGTGCGCGGGCGGACGCGCTGCTGCTGCAGCCGGACTACCTTGCTCGCGCCGCCGCGTGGCTCGTGGTCGACCACAAGGAGGCGGACGAGGGTTTTGCGCAGACGGCCGGCGCGCTGGCGGCGCCCACCGCGGCCGGGGAGCCGCACAACGTCATTTGCGCCCCCGTGGAGGGGGGACCCCTTTCCCCCCCCCCCCCCCCTGCCTCCCGCCCTGGGCCCCGCCTCCCCTTGGCCAGCTTGGGCTCTGCCCCACGCACATGCACATGCACATGCACATGCACATGCACATGCACATGCACATGCACATGCACACGCGCATGCACATGCACACGCACACGCGCACGCGCACGCGCACGCGCACGCGCACGCGCACGCGCACGCGCACGCGCACGCGCACGCGCACGCGCACGCGCACGCACACGCACACGCATGCACCCGCAGGCGGGCCGCTCCTGGCCCCGCACCGACGCCCACGGCCAGGGCGGCGCCGACTTCTCGCTCGGCGCCGCGCGGCTCTTTGAGCGGCTCGCGGCGCACTACGGCCCGCCCATCCGCCCGCTGCTGCTGCCGACGGCCCTCTCGCTCTCCGCGGCGGGTTCGAGGCGTGACTCGCTCTTCCGAGATCAACTAATTAACTAATTAACTAATTAACTAATTAACTGGTGCGAGGCGTGACTCGCTCGCGGTTGGCTTCGAGCTCCTCGGCGGCGTGCTCCGCGCCGCCGGCAGCTGGCCGCGTGACGACGAGCGACGGCTGCACGAGGTGCTCTCGAGGGGCGGGCTCGGCATCTCTCCCCATCTCTCCCCTGTATCTCCCCTGTATCTCCCCATAGGAGCTCTCGGGCGGCGGCTTCGGCGCCGCGCTCCGCGCGTGCCCTGTCGAGAGCGTCGGCACGGCGCAGTCTTTCCTGCGCTTCGCGGCTGCGTCGAGGGACTCGCGCCGACCTCTCGTGGCCATCTCCCCATATCCCCCCCCATATCTCCCCCATATCTCCCATAGGACCCGCGCCGCCTCTCGTGGCTGGCGGCCACACTCCTCGCCGGGCTGCAGAGCGCGGCGGCGGCGAACGAGACGTCGCTGTCGCACGCGACTGCGTTGCGCTTCGTCGCCCCGCTGCTGGCAGAGCTGCGCTGGCGCGGGCCGCAGCTGGCCGAGGCGACTCTCTCCCGCGGCTCGACCGCCGCCGCCGTCACCGCGGGCGCGCGGCAGGTGCGGGAGGAGGTTGGCGCGCTCCTCGCGCTGTCGATGCAGGCCGCGTCGCCGCCGCCGCCGGGCCAGCCGCAGCCCGCCGCGTCGAGGCATGTCCAGGACACGTCCATGACATGTCCGGGACATGACCTTAGGCCAGCCGCAGCCCGCAGCGCGCATCGGCGCGGCGGCCGCGGGGCTGCTGCGTTCGGTTCTCGCCGCATGCCGCCTCGAGGGGCTTCCTCGCGGTTCTGCCGACGCCGCGCCCGACGCCGCCAGCGGCGGCAACGGCGGCGGCGGAGTTGTGCTGCTCGAGCCGGAGGACGAGGGTGAGCGAGCCTCGGCGCGGGCGGCGCGCGTGGTTGCGCTCGCGTGTGTGCGCGGCTGCGTGCGGCACGGCCGGCCGCAGGCACCTAGACACCTCCTAGACACCTCCTAGACACTTCCTAGACACCTCCTAGACACCTCCTAGACACCTCCTAGACACCTCCTAGACACCTCCTATACACCTCCTAGACACCTCCTAGACACCGCCTAGACACCTCCTAGACACCTCCTAGACACCGCCTAGACACCGCCTATGGCACGGCCGGCCGCAGGCGCTTCTGCCATACGGCGAGCAGCTGCTGCGCGCCTCGCTCGCCACCGCAGCGAGCATCAACGACCCCGACCTCTCGAACGCCGGCCGCGCGTGCGCCGTGCTGCTCGCGCAGCTCCCCCTCCTCGAGGCGGGGCTCCTCGTCCCTTTCCTCGCGCTGCTCAAGGACCTCTCCGCCTCGCCCTCGTGGCACCTGCGCGGCTGCCTGCTCCCTCCGCTCAAGTACCTGATCTACCTCGGCCAGTTCGCGCCGCCGTCGCTGCAGCCGCCGCCGCAAGAGGCGATCCAGGCGCTGCTCCTCCAGCTGCTCGTGGACCCGCAGCTCGAGGTGAGGGAGGCGGCCATGCCGGTCGTTGCGGGCTACGTGCGCCTCTACGGGCCACACGCACGCCGGCGCCGCCCGCGCGGACCGGACGTATGCTCGCGCCCCTTCCCCTGACCCGTCTCTCTCGCCCCTTCCCCACAGGCGCCTCCTCGCATGGGCCGACAACATCCTCAAGAAGCGCAAGAACGGGGGCGCGCCGCTGGCGCAGAGGCACGGCGGCGTGCTCGGCCTCGCCGCCCTCGTCGCGCTGGCGCCGTACGACGTGCCTTCGTGGCTGCCAGAGGTGCTCGAGCGGCTGGCGCGGCACGCCCAGCAGCCGCAGCCCATCAAGGCTGCCGTCTCGAGGGTGTTTGCTGACTTCAAACGCACACACCAGGCGCCGCCGACCAATGCCGTGCCCCCCCCCCCCCCCCCTCCCCAAAAGTTTAGCCCCCCCCCCCCCCCCCACTTCCCCCCAACCCCTCTTCAGGACAACTGGGCCGCCTCGAGGAAGCGGCTCACGCCGGAGCAGCTCGAGATGCTCGCCGACGCGGAGCAGCCGCCGCACTGGTACGCCTGACACTCTTCCGGGGCAGGGCTCTGCACCGCCGACTGCACTGCACTCTGCGGTCCCCCGGCCAACTTGCTTGTGTACGCTGTCCCCTGTGTCTCGCAGTGCCCAGGCGGATGTGAGCCAGATGGGTGATGAGATGATGCGCTCTCTCGCTGACGCTGTTTGACTTGTGTGTTGAGGCTCGAGCTGTTCTGTTGTGGTGTCTCGGGTCTCGCGCCCCTCACACGCTCTCATGTGATCGACGACGTGTAGCGAAGCTGGGTCCTTGGGGCAACAGTTCCAGGGAGGGCGCTCGTTGCCGTGCGCGAATATATGGGCCAAAAGCGTCGAAAATGTCTCAAAAAGCCGCGTGTCTCGAGTTCGTAGCCTTGTTGCAGCTCCGCAGCCCAGTGGCTGCGCCTGCGGGGGCTGCCGCGGGACGCACCGCTCGCGCGTTCTGCACACTGACACACCGAGTGTGCAGAACCAACTGGAGTGAGTAGGCTCGAGTCGCAGGCTCGAGGACGCCGCGCTCGCTGTGGAGCTACAACAAACTCGCCGCCGAGCGTGCCACCGAAGGCGTCCCAACCGCAACTCAGCACGCGCCCGACGGCGGCACGCGAGCTCGGAGCGGATCGGCGGGGTGAACGGCCACGTAACGTCGCCGAAGCTATCCGGCGCTCCGCTTGCCCTCCCCGCGCGCCTCGATGGCTCGCCACGCCTCCTCGACGAGCGCGAAGCACTCTCCGGCGCGCGGGTGGCCGCACCGATCCGGGTGGAGCCGCCGCACCAGCTGCAGGTACCGCTTCCGGCTCGCCTCGCGGCCCGTCAACCGCTGCAGCCCAAAGCAGCCCCAAGGGTCCTGCACAGCGCGGGGGGCTCCAGCGAGCACCGCCGCCACGAGAGCGTCCACCGCGCAATCGACGTCGACGATGCCGCCGCTCGACCCTGCGTCGCCGCTGCTGGACCCACCGCAGCCGCCGCCGCCGCCGCAACCGCTCCCGCCGCCGCTCCCTCCCCCTCCGCCGCTCCCACCGCCCCCGCCCGCCTGGGGCTGGCGCTGGCGGCTGGCCGCCTAGGTAAGGTGAGGTAAGGTAAACTTCTCCACACACAAGGGTGGTGGGGCAAGGGGGGGCAGCCCTCGCGACTCCACGTCTAGAAGACAGGAGCCCCACGGCATTCAAAGTGCAAGGCCCGGTGCGCGTGGGTGAGCGATGCGTGTGTGCGCGTGCGCGTGCGTGTGCGCGTGCGCGCGCGTGTGCGTGTGTCTCCACCTCCTCGAAGAGTCGCCTCTGGTCCTACGTGGCGAACACGCAACCTCGAGGCGGGAGGACGGTCTCGTGCAGTGCATTCGTAGCACCGCGTGAATACGAGGGGCTACGAGCACAGCGAAAGCAGCGGAACAAGGCCGAATGCGGCTGAGTACGTGTCCTCTCGAGCGCTGGTTGGGATACGAGAAGATGTACTCCGCTTCTGGGCCTCCCTTCCTCGATTGCGGCCCGCCTCCGCTGCTCGACGCGCATCGCCT